TTCGGACTTTGGTCTCTAGAATGACTGGCTGACTGCCATGTTATGATTGAGTCACATTAACCCTGTGGTTAGTATGTTCAAATTCCAACCCATTGCAAAAGAGATTAATTTATTTCCAACTTACACATACAAACAAAGGCTCATTCAATTTTTGTTGAAACCTTCTGCTTTCGTCTGTCATTAGGTGTTGTAATTATGAAGGAAACCAATAGTGAGAATGGAGAGAATATGCAGGGCCAACAAAGTGATGTGGTGGTTAAGGTGGCTGGATCCCACATGGCCAACTGCACAGTTCAAGTCTGGGACCCCAGTGGCTTGAGAAACATACTGGATGCGTGTGCCCAAAATCTTGAGAGGAAAATGGAGAAGGGCTTGAGGTGTGGCTATCCTCCCTGAGGGATGCTTTCTCTTTCTCTCTGTCTTCACTGAACACATGCACCGTACAGAAAATTTAGAAAATGAAAAGAAAAGAGGCGAATTGGATGGAAGGTTAGTGAGAGAGAGGATAACAAAATTGGTCAGATATTTAGAGAAACAAGCAAAGGGACTGTAAGAAAGAAAATGCAGGAGCAGAGAAAAGCTACAGATTAAGAATATTAGAGTGTTAAAGAATTAGGGTGAGAAATAAGGAAAAAATGCATAGGAGAGAAAGAAGAGAGAAGATAATATGTGCTGCTTGTTTTGCCTTTTCTCGGAGATAGGTTAGCTGCCGTCTGTAGTCTTCCTTTGATTTGTCCTCCCAGGAGCAGATTGTATTTGCTACAGAACTGCCAGAGCTTCACTGGCTCTATTCTCTGTCATGTGTATGGGAGGTTTCATTACGTATATTTGCAGGTTACCTTAATACTTTATAAGTATTTTCATACTGATTTTCTTATTTGGCTATCATAATAACCTATATGCAATATAGAGATAATATGATCTCTATTCAATGAGAAAGCAGAAAATGATGAATGAAGTATTTTAACCCAGTTCATATAGCAAATTGATGACTGATTTGGAGCTAAGGTGGTCTGATACCAACTCTGTGATCTTGGGTAGAATCTCTGAGCATCCATGTCTGTGTCAGGGAAATTGAGATAGTGATACTTAATAAGAGAGGATCTGAATTCTTGGTATTACTAAGTGGTATATTTTTAAACCATTTTTGATTGTTACTATTTGCATTTCAAAACTTTAAGAAAAACCTACTGACTGGGCTATGCCATTTCCCTTAATATATCCTTTTGTAGAAAGATTATTTTTAACAAAGCATTTATGGATTTTAGCAACTGATGACTTCATACTTGCGATTAAAATTATAATGTTAAAGTGTAACAGCATTCTGCTTTAAAATGCTCACTATAGAGACTGGCAGGGGGCATAGGGGTTAAAGAGGCTCCTGCATGACTGACTGCTTTGAGCCTCAGTCCTGATGGCTCGCTTTCTCACTTTATTTATTTTTTTTTTTCAAGAGGTTTTTGCTATAGGGCGCATGCGCTCGCCAGACAGACAGAGACAGAGAGACAGAAGGTGAGAAATCACTCCCCAGGAGGATGGCCACGCCACAAACCCTTCTCCTCCCTTCTCCTCTTGGGATCTTGGGCATGCACGCACACACGCCCAGCGTGAGTTTTAAGCCACCAGGCCCAGGACATGAACTGCGGTTGACTACATGGGAGTCCAGCGACATAGCCATTACACTAACTGCTGGTCCCATAAATAAAATAATTTTTTTAAATGCTCACTATTAGCATCCCTCCTTTGGTGATAATCAAACTGATTAACAGATCTCTGTCATTGGACTTGTCTTTCTGAGAGGTGGCTCTGTATTATACACAGTCTCCTTCTGGCACTTCCCTGTGATGTTTGAAGTGATGAGATGTATAATGGTTAGGTTTTGAATTAATATTTATAATGCTTTGGTGTGTGAGATGAGCCCAAGATCACTCTCAATTTCAACAATTTACTAGGACAACTCACAAGGCAGTATATCTCATACCCATGGCAATAATTCAATACAGTGAAATGGTATAAAGCAAAATCAGCAAAAGGAAAAGTCTTATGGGTTGAGTGTGTGGAAAGCCAGGAGCAGTTTCCAAGATTCTCCCAGTGAAGTCACACAGAGCTTGCTTAATTCCTTCAGCAACAACTTGTACCAATGAGTGTGAAATGTTGAGCACAAGAATGTAACTCGTTAGAGACTCAGTGCTCAGGATATCATTGGAGGTTGGTCACATAGGAACCCTCTGCCTATGAACCAAAAGTTGAGACTCCCAGAAGAAAAGCAGGTGTTCAGCCTACACCGTATTGTTTGCCCACAGTTTAGACACAGGAAGCCACTCTTACCAGTTTTAGAAATGGTGCTCACTGAAGAGAGAGAGAGAGAGAGAGAGAGAGCAAGAAAGCACTCTTCCCTCCCCCAGGGCTTAGTCATGCTGCAATCCCTTTTCCTCCATCTCTCCCTCCTTTTGGGACTGTGGTCACATGCCTATGGATGCCCCATATGTTTTATAGCCACTGGGCCTGGGATTCAAATTACAGTATTGACCATTTGGAATCCAACCACCTTAACCACCATGCATAGGCTAGCCCTACTTGACATTTTAAATAAGTATTCAACAAATGCTTGTTGAGTGCTTGTTATGTACAAAGTAATATGCTAGACAGAGACATAAAACCATGATCTTGATATACACTTTATTCTCAAAAAGCTTTGGTCTGGTGAGTGTGGTAGGTGGGAAAGGTAAGACCTCTTTCTTAATAACTGAAATTCAGGGTAAATGCTCTAGGAAAGCATATTAGTTTCCTATAGCTCTGTGACAAATTACCACACAATCGGTGGCTTAAAACAATAGACATTTATTCCCTCACAGTTTGGAAAGCCAGATGTCAAAAATCAGTATCATCAAGCTCAGATCAAGGTATCCACAGGGTGGCACACCCCAAGGAGCTCATAGGAAAGAATCTGCTCCTTGCCTCTTCCTTCTTTGTTGCCGTTGGCATCCATTGGCTTTGTGCCTCTTCACTTAACTCTCTGCCTCTGTAGCCACACTGCCTTCTTATCCTTTGTCTGTTATCCATGGAACTTCCCTTTGCCTCTCTATTATAAGGATAACTGTGATTGAATTTAGGACCTATTCAGATAATACACAAAAATCTCCACATCTTGAGATCTTTAAATTAATTGCATTTGCAAAACCTTTTTTCCAGATAAGGTAACACAGGTTCCAGGAATTAGGACCTGATATTTTTGAGTCATTATTCAGGATAATACAGAGAGCATTAGACAAATTGCTATAGGTTACAAAATATAAAGTGCACATATAAGAAGAATCATAAAATAATCTCAAAATAATAAATGAGTGGTTATTTACATGTGATGTTATTTGTTGTAAGATAATCATGAAAATTGGAAGCTACATTAGTTTCAACAACAGGGGATTATTTTTTTAAAAATCATAATTCTTTTTTTTTTTTTTTTGGAGAGGTTTTTCCTATAGTGCGTATGTGCTCGCCAGACAGACAGAGAGAGACAGAGAGACAGAAAGCGAGAAATCACCCCCCAGGGGGGATGGTCACGCCGCAATCCCTTCTCCTCCATTCTCCTCTCGGGATCTTGGGCATGCACGCACATGTGCCCGGCGTGAGTTTTAAGCCACCGGGTCCTGGATGCGAACCACAGTCGACTACATGGGAGTCCAGTGACATAACATTACGCTAACTGCTGGTCCCCAAAAATCATAATTCTGTGTGATGGCATTTTGGTTTTTATTGCCAGAGGGCTCATGCACTATCCAGAGAGAGAAAAAGAAAGAGGAGAAAGCACCACTCAGTGGGGTGTAGTCATGCTGCAATATCCTCTCCATTTCTTCATCTCTTTGGAATTTTGGACACACATACACATGTGCCCAGTGTGATTTTCAGGTTGCTTGAGCCAGAATTTGAACCATGGTCAGGCATGTGGGATCTAGTTTTCTTAAACACTAGGCAACAAGGTCGGCCTTTCATATGAAGACATTCTATACAATGGATACAAATTATCTTATAGAAAAACATTAGATATTGTTAAGAGATCAAAATCCTGTGACCAGCAAAGGCAGAGTGATTACATTGCTGGACTCCCATGTAGTCAACCGCAGTTTGAGTCCCAGACCCAGTGGCTTAAAACTCACACCAGGCGCCTGTGCGTGTGTACCTGAGATCATGAGAGGACAAGGGATTGTGGCATGGCCATTCCTCCCAGGGATGATTTCTTGCTTTCTGTTTATCTGTCTCTTTGTCTCTCTGGCAAGTACATGTGCCCTATAGCAAAAATTTCTCTCTCTTAAAAAGAGAGAGAGAGAGATCAAAATCTGTTTTTAAAAGAATTATTGTATATAACTTTATTTATTACTATTATTATTATTTAGTTTGATCAGACAGAGAGAGAGAGGGAGAGAAAGCAAGAAAAGAAGTCACCAGGTCCAGAACTTGAACCACAGTTGGCCATGTGGGAGTCCAGTGCCTTTAACCACCACGCCACCTGCTGGCCCCAGAGATCAAAATCTTTTGTGTGGTTCCAGTTTTATTAAAATACATATATATGTTTATATATGTATCCATAGAAAAAGATTGGAAAGATTTTTTTAAATGTTCATTCCAGGAAGTAAAATTAGCTTTTAATTATTTTTTTCCTTTGGAATTCTTCCTGTATTTTTTCATGTTTTAATATCAAATATATGTTTATATTTAGAAAAATATTCTATTCTCTTTCTTGAGCAAGTTTATCAGAGGAAGTGACATTTGAGGCATAGTCTATTAAATAAGTACACTTTTCAGGAACAGAGCTAAGGAAGGAACTAAGCTGTATAAGGGTGGGTAAGTACTGTACATCAGGATATATACTTTCAAGGATGGATTGAGCCTTGAAATGGCATGTGAGTTGAGTTTGAGGATTTTGAATGCTAGCTGGGTTTTGTTATGTTCTATAATAGCCGACTACCAGTTAATGAATTTTTCATCTTTTCTTTCAAATACAGTGACTTACAAGGAATAAAAACAAATGCCAGAAAGGATGGAAGTGACTGGATTCTCAATGGAAGCAAGGTGTGTAAAGAAAGGCATCTGTAGCTCTTCTCTCCAGAGTTGTCATGGATAGCATGTCTCAAATACTACTCATCATTAATTCTATTAGATCCAGGGAATCACATAAGAACTGAGTTTTAAGTTTCTTGAAACCATTATAAATGTACAACATTTACATTACATGATATCAGTGTTAGCCTCTTCTGTGTTCCATTTTTCAATACCTCCTTGCTAAGATGGCAAAGGCAATGGTAGCTTCCAAACAACATTTGTCAAACCATAGAGGGACAATGTGGCTCATATTGCCCAAATGTAATACAAACAATAATTAAAGTTTATGTTGATTAAGTATTTTTGGGGAAAAAGCTTTCTTATAAATATCAAGAAGAGTTTCAAAATATCAAGGTGAGAAAGATGTCAGTAGTAGAATCTAAGAGTCTTTAAGTCCTTCTCAGAATCAGTCAACCCACTGATAGAACTGGAGAACACTTCTAGTTAAGGTTACAGATAGTTCAGGAGTATATCATGAGTTGTTGGAAAAGTCATGACATATTTTTTTGTTATTCTTTGTGAAAATGCATCATGACTTTTCTGACAACACAATATATCCCTTAGAATACCATGTCATTGAGGGCAGATAATATTGTAATCTTTCTAAGATTCAATCAACCCACTGATAGGTTGACTCCACTTAATGGGAGAGTCTCCATGTAATAGGAGAGTCCCTCCAATTAAGGTTACTAATGGGCTCAGGAGTTAACATATCACTTAAAATCTTACATCACAGGGAGAAATGATATTAGTGTCTACCTAAAGCTATGTCTAGTATATGCTCAGTAAATATTTGTTATTGGTTGAGTGTTAAGGGAAGGAGAGATGTTCATCTTCTACACTGTTCTAAGGAAGTCTTCCTGAAACTATGTTCCAACATCTGTTGGAAAAGTAGTTTTTGTTTCTCATTAAAAATAAATTATTTCTAATTAGTTTTAAGCTAATGCCTTTGTATTTATAAAATCACCAGCTTGAATCTTGTAACACTGTCAAAACCCTAAAAAACACTCTCAATTTCTGTACTTGTGTTGTCAGAGACTGGTAACAGTATGTGGACTGACATCAGTCTGCAGACCACATTTTAAACAGTCTGGTTCTAAGAATATTCCATAATATAGTTTTTTGTTTGTTTGTTTGTTTTTGTTTTTTTGGGTTTTTTTGGAGAGATTTTCACTGTAGGGCGTGTGCGCTCGCCAGACAGACAGAGAGAGACACAGAGACAGAAAGCGAGAAATCACCCCCCAGGGGGGATGGTCACGCCGCAATCCCTTCTCCTCCATTCTCCTCTCGGGATCTTGGGCACGCACGCACACGCGCCCGGCGTGAGTTTTAAGCCACCGGGTCCGGGACACGAACCGCGGTCGACTACGTGGGAGTCCAGCGACATAGCCATTACGCTAACTGCTGGTTCCCCATAATATAGTTTTGTAAATATTATACATAAAAATATCTATACTGTGAAATAAATATGAAAAATGTGTACTTCTCATTATTTGATATATCGATGTGCATTTTGAATCTCTAAATTTGGATATGGTCTTCTTTACGCCCTGAGAAATTTTCAATTTTTAAAGTTTTTGTTTCCAGGGCAGGCAGGTAGTATGATGGTGAAGGTGCTTAATTCCCACATAATCAACCGCAGTTCGAGTCCTATAAACAGCAGTTTGCTTCTTCACTTTCTATTTTTCTCTCTCTCTGATAAAATTTTTAAAAAATAATAATAGATAAAATTAACTAAATAATTCTTTTTTAAAAAAAGGTTTTTATTTCAGGAACCAACAGATAGCATAATGGCTATGTCACTGGACTCCCACGTAGTCGACCACGGTTCGCGTCCCGGACCCGGTGGCTTAAAACTCACGCCGGGCACATGTGCGTGCATGCCCAAGATCCCGAGAGGAGAATGGAGAAGAAGCGATTGCGGCGTGACCATCCCCCCTGGGGGGTGATTTCTCGCTTTCTGTCTCTCTCTGTCTCTCTCTGTCTGTCTGGCGAGCACACGTGCCCTATAGCGAAAACCTCTCCAAAAAGAAAAAAAAAAAGGTTTTTATTTCTTCTGAGACAGAGTGAGCAAAAGAAAGAGGCACTCCAAATAGTTCCCTTATAACATGACCACCTCAGCCAGGATCATGAGCACGTATGCACACCTAGTATGTACAGGGAGACTTTAGGACACAAACACGGAACTGACCATATGACTTCAGCATCATAGAGCATTGTGTTACAATTATGCCAGTTCAGCTGACTGTTTATAGATTTTCTTGGGTCACTAATGTCTTTCGTATATACTATATGGTAATATTCTTGATTTAATCATCACACATTACATATATGCTTTGAAAAACCATATTGAATGCCATAAATATGTATGATAGATAAAGGTAAATAAGGACATTTTTCAAAAATTAGTCTATGGGACCAGCAGGTGGCATAATGACTACATCACTGAACTCCCAAGTAGTCGACTGCTGTTCTGGTCCCACGCTTGGTAACTTAAAACTCATGCTGAGGGTATGAGTATGTGTGCCCAAACTTCTGAGAGGAGACTAGAGGAGAAGGGATTACAGCGTATCTATCCCCCTGCGGGGTGATTTCTTGCTTTCTGTCTCCCTGGAGAGCACACACACCCTATAGCAAAAAGCTCTCTCTAAAAAAGGAAAAGAAATATTAGTCTAAGTTACTCATCTTAAGGATAATAATAAACATATTAACTGCAGGGTATGATTAATTAACTGTCTGTATACACAGAGTTTACTTTGAAAGAAGAGTAAGCTATTTGTTCAAAAGTGAAATAAGAACCACAGTCCATTATGATTCTAGCTTTCTAAGCAGGCCCAATCTAATCAGTCATGATCTTTGTGGGAACCATCCAGGAAAGATAATAATGATCCTGTTTCAAAAACAGTGTCTTCTAATAAGGAAAGCAAAAAATTGAAAGTAAGTAAAAGTGAAGGAATATGTACTTGCATATACTATACATATTTACATATAGTACATCTGAACTAATATACAACCACTAAAATAGTAACAACTTTTTTTGAGAGAGATTTTTCCTATAGAGCACGTGCACTTACCAGACAAACAGAGACAGAAAGCGAGAAATCAATCCCCAGGGGGATGGTCATGCCACAATTCCTTCTCCACCGTTTTCTCCAGATTTTCAGCACTCGCCCAGCATGAGTTTTAAGCCACCAGGTCTGGGACTCATACTGCAGTCAACTATGTGGGAGTCCAGCAACGTAACCATTACGCCATCTACTGGTCCCCAGTAACACCAAATTTTTAATGGTATAGGAAGATAATTATATATTAACATTAAGTCTAAAAAGAGTGCATAGAATGCAATATAGAACAATTTAAATTTGGTGTAATTCAACTTTATTCAATCTTTTTTTAAGAATAGTACATGTGTGTACAAGAGAAAGAAAAAGAAAGCAAGCACCTTCAACAGGGTCTCATCATTGCTGTGATCCCCATTCCCCAGCATTCTAGCTCCTCAGGATCCTGGGGGCCTGTGTATGCACCTGGAGTGTTTTTAGGCTGATCCAGGATCTAAACCTGAAGTTGGCCTTATGGCTTCCAACCTTGCATGGCACTTGCATTACTGTTGCACTACAGTGGCTGACTGAGTCCCCCTTTTTTAGGGTGTGAGATTCCATCAAACAGAGACAGCAAGCAAAAGGAGAAAGCATCCCCCTGTGGAATGATTGCTTTGCAATCCCTTCTCCTCCATCTCTCTCTTCTTTGGGGATTTTGGGCCCTCGCACACATGCACTCTGAGTATTTATCAAGCTGCAGGTCTGTGACTTGAACCACACAGTTGACCATGTAGGAACCAGCTTCCTTAACCACCAGGCCATGGAGCTGGACCTCAATTTTTTTTTTAATTCATAATAGAGAATGTGTACATGTAAGTGAAAGTGAGAATGAGAGACAGAGAGAAGAGCACCCTCTATGGGATCTGGTCATGTTGCAGTCACCTTCCTCCAGTCCTCCAGCCTGTTGGCTCTTCATGCCCAGCATGTCTCAGTTGCCATGTGGGAACTGACTTCTCTTAAGCAACATCATTACTGCTCAGCCACAGAGTCAGTTCCCTATTCAAATGTTTTGACTGTCGTAATTAAGAAAAAAAACTACAAAGTCCACTTACAATGAAGATTATTTTAAAACTTTACTAGAAAAGGGGATTGGGACCAGCAGTTGGTGTAATGGCTATGTTGCTGGACTCTCATGTAGTCAACCACGGTTTGAGTCCTGGACCCAGTGGCCTAAACTCACACCAGGGGCGTGTGCATGCATGTCCAAGATCCCTAGAGGAGAATGGAGGAGAAGGGATTGTGGCATGGCCATCCCCCATGGGGTGTGATTTCTCACTTTCTGTCTCTCTATGTCTTTCTGGTGAGTGCACACACCCTATAGAAAAGAAAAGGGGATTGATCAATGTGGAAACATTCACTTATTATAGAACTATTTTAGAACCTGTTCTAAAAAAGCGCTATAGTTGATAAAATTACTTCACATGTGGATATATGTTGATAGTTCCCATACTTTCATAAATGTGTATTAGAAATAAACAAGTAACTGGGAAAAAAAAGAAATATTTCAGAATCTATTCATTCTCTTATGTAATTACTTCCAAGGAGAACTCTACATGATTTTACTAAGTCAAGAACAGAATATTAAAGTAAATAAATTTTGCTCTATGCACTGCTTCTACATTCCTTTCCATTCTATTGCTGGTCTTTTATCTATAGTTAATACATTTCTGAGACCATGGATTTTAGAGCATACAGCTACTACCTTCTGGATGTTGTGTCATTCATGGACCACCCAGGCCCAGGCCCAGCATGGTGGCATGTGCAGTCAGTGTGCTGCTACCTGATGTTAGAGGCCATATATAAGTCTCCATGTTTGTGTGCCAAGACTTGAGCATGCCAGACATACCTACAGGCACTGGTTGGCTGCAAGAC